CCAAAGTATGGAAAGAGCCCAAATGTCCATCGATGGATGAGTGGGTAAAGATGTGGTATATATATATATATACACACACACACACATATACAATGGAGTATTACTCGGCCATCAAAAAGAATGAAATCTTGCCATTTGCAACTACGTGGATGGAACTGGAGGGTATTATACTAAGTGAAATTAGTCAGAGGAAGACAAATATCATATGACTTCACTCATATGAGGACTTTAAGAGACAAAACCAATGCACATGAGGGAAGGGAAACAAAAATAATATAAAAACAGGGAGGGGGACAAAACAAGAGACTCATAAATATGGAGAACAAATTGAGGGTTACGGGAGGGGTGGTGGGAGGGGGGATGGGCTAAATGGGGAAGGGGCACTAAGGAATCTACTCCTGAAATCATTGTTGCACTAGATGCTAACTAATTTGGATGTAAATTTTAAAAAAATAAAATGAAACAAGTTAAAATTTTTAAAAAGAAAAAAAAAAGATTGTACTAACAAGGAGGTTACTGTGTTTGGCTATCTTGAGTCATATGAAAACCTGTATCTAAAAAAAAAATTTCCAGGGGCACCTGGGTGGCTCAGCCGGTCAAGCTCTGACTCGATCTCAGCTCAGGTCATAATCTTGTGGTTTATGAGTTCGAGCCCCATGTCGGGCTCCCCACTGTCAACCTGCTTGGGAATCTCTCTCTGCCCCTCCCCAACGCATGCTCTTGTTCCCAACATAAACATACATTTAAAAAAAAGATAAAAAATAAAAACATGTTTCTATATTCCTCAAGCAGATGCAACTTTAAACGTGTCTCCTTCAATGAGGAGATCTGAAAAGATCTGCCCGCAGCAGCTGTAAAATGCAATGATTTACCAAGGAGAGAGAATACCACATTTGACTGGATCACGACAGGTTCAAATGTTTTAGCGCCCAAATCAGGCACGGAGACTTGTATTTATCATGTTTGTTGTTTTCTGCATCTAATGATGTTTTGACATCTCCGGGAGGCCTTACCGACCTGGAGAGAGACAGCCTCTTTCAGGGCTGGCTAATTCCTAAAGACAGTCAACCGCTTGCTTGGGAGCATGCCGCCATATACATATACATGACCACCGCCTTTTTATAACTTTCGCACACCGAGCCAATATTCCCCTTGCCTTAATTCATCCCACAGCCAGGTACCAGGCAACTAGGGAGCAAAACCCATTGGAATTGGCTCAAACTAGCCAATCCTCTAAAAGCAGCTGTTTGCCTGACGCTGCCTCGCCCTTTCCCATGGAAACCCCAATTGAGGCTGTGGCCTAGACATCCCCCTCCCTCCTTCCTGCCTCCTGACCAAGCCTGGTGCTTCCCCATGCGACCCAGCGTGGTGAGGCACACCCCCTGCGCTGGGTACTCTTCTTTCAATGGCATTAACCTCTCGTGTCCTCACTCAACCACCTCCCTGCATTAAAATCCCCTAGATACTGGGGCGCCTGGGTGGCGCAGTCGGTTAAGCGTCCGACTTCAGCCAGGTCACGATCTCGCGGTCCGGGAGTTCGAGCCCCGCATCGGGCTCTGGGCTGATAGCTCAGAGCCTGGAGCCTGTTTCCGATTCTGTGTCTCCCTCTCTCTCTGCCCCTCCCCCGTTCATGCTCTGTCTCTCTCTGTCTCCAAAATAAATAAACGTTAAAAAAAAAAAAAAAAATTAAAAAAAATCCCCTAGATACAAATGACACAATTTCCAGAAAGATGGTTTACTAAGAACAGACTAAACATTCCAAATAGATTACATGTTTGACGCATTTGGACTACGTCCAGCAGAGAGAGGGCAGCCCAGTGGTGCATGGTTAAGACTCTTTCACCGGGGGCGCCTGGGTGGCTCAGTCGGTTAAGTGTCCGACTTCAGCTCAGGTCATGATCTCACGGTTCATGAGTTCGAGCCCCGTGTCGGGCTCGGTGCTGACAGCTCAGAGCCTGGAGCCTGCTTCGGATTCTGTGTCTCCCTCTCTCTCTGCCCCTCCCTTGCTCACACTCTGTCTCTCTCTCTTTCTCTCAAAAATAAATAAAACATTGGGGTACCTGGGTGGCTCAGTGGGTTAAGCATCCAACTTCAGCTTAGCTCAAGATCTCACGGCTTATGGGTTTGAGCCCTGCATTGGGCTCTGTGCTGACAGCTCAGAGCCTGGAGCCTGTTTGGATTCTGTGTCTCCCTCTCCCCCTGCCCCTCCCCTGCTCGTGCTCTGTTTCTCTCTGTCTCTCAAAAATAAGTAAAACATTAAAAAAAAAATAAAAAAAAATATTGCCCAGAAGTGATAAACTCTCATCAACTAGACAGACGTGGTTATTTAATCGATTTTACTTTTTAACTTTTCTGATCCGGAGGCACTCATTCATGGAAAATCCCAGACCACCCACCCCTTTGGCCTTGCGGATTCCTGCCCCAGGTTTCAGGGCCCTCGGGGAAACGGTGAACACCCAGCCCTGAGGACGACTGCATTCTGGTGGCCCTAGTGGTTCCAGAAGCTTCATCGCATGCAAACTGTGCCTGGACCTAGAGGAGAGGGTTACAGCCACAAACTGACTCCCGTGGGGGCTTTGACACAAGTGAGCAGGGCTCCTTGAGTTCCAGCCTCAGGCCCAGTTGCTGAAAATAGCTATTCTTGTGGTTACCACATGACCGAAAATTATTTCCTATGATGACACTGCATGCAAATTGATTAAAAATAACAAGTTTAAAAGTTCAGGGCAAGGTCCCGAGAAAGGCCTGCTGGGTACTCAACAAACCTTTTTTTTTTTTTTTTCGGGGAATAAGTTGTTTACGCTTTACTTCCAAGAGTACATCGTGAAACTTCGGTGCCAATGTGTGAACATTGAACTGAAAAGCTCTGTGCCTTCCCCAGGCTCAGTTCTGGATTTGGAAAAGACAGGAAAGATGACGGCATGGCTGGCACCTAGGAGGGTAGGAAGGGTCCAGTCCCTGGGGGTCTTGCCAGCTGACTCAGAAGTCAGGGCATCAGCGGACTGGCCACCTTGGGCTTTGTTCCCAGAGGGAGCAGCAGACAAACATTCTCAAAGGGACTTCTGTCCATTTCAGAACTTGATAGTCCCTTTTTTTTTCATTTGAGAGAGAGAAAAAGAGCACAAGTGGGAGAGAGGGGCAGAGGGACAGAGAGAGAGAGAAAGACAGAGAGGGGGAGAATCCCAAGCCGGTTCCACATTCAGCACAGAGCCCAACAAGGGGCTTGATCCCAGAACCTTGGGATCATGACCTGAACCTAAATCAAGAGTCAGACGCTCAACCGACCGAGCCCCCCAGGTGCGCCATCAGAACTTGATTTTCCTGATGTCTGCCTCCCATACAGTCTCTAGTTTGAGAGTGTAAGTGTATCATTTTACCTTTTATCCTGAAAATAAACAAACAAACAAACAAACAAGAGAGAGACATAGAGAGATCTGCTTTATTAACATCAAAAAGATGGTTTGGGTACAAAAGAGATCTTGAATGGCATTCCTTTAAATATGACCTTGGAGAATTGTTTTAAACTTACCAGGGGGTGCCTGGGTGGCTCATTCGGTTGAGCATATGACTTCTGCTCAGGTCATAATCTTGTGGTTCATGAGTTTGAGCCCCATGTCGGGCTCTGTGCTGACAGCTCAGAGCCTGGAGCCTGTTTCGGATTCTGTTGTCTCCCTCTTTATCTGCCCCTCCCCCACTTGCACTCCGTGTGTCTCTCTCTCTCTCTCTCTCTCTCAAAAATAAACATTAAAATTTTTTTTAATAATTAATAGATAAATAAATAAATAAACTTACCAGGTATGATTGATTTATCAAAGGGCAACATTTTGCCTCTGACTTCTTCTTCTTCCTCCTCATCTTCTTCTAATAAAACAAAATATACATTGTTGCGTTTATTACGTATTACTACTATGGACAGCTTGGCAAGAAAATTAAAAATATTTTAACTAGAAGTCACTAATGAAAACTAACCATAAATAGAAAAGTGTGTATTTTAGACATAGTCTGTCTGAATTTTAAATTTTAACGAAGCGACTATTATTATGATATGTTGCAACTTACCTGAATATAAACACTCAAAATAAATGAAGGAGGGGCACCTGGCTGGCTCAGTCTGCAGTGCACGTGGCTCTTGATCTCAGGGTCGTGAGTTCGAGCCCCACATTAGAGGTAGAGTTTATATAAAGTAAGAAAGAAAAGCTTTGAAAAAAAGATACAGGGAACATTCAAACTTACGATTGAATAGGTCTTTAGCTTGATCATAGGTCTCCGGGAACCCATCCAAAATATAACCTTGATTCCTGCAAGGCATAGATTTCAACTTTTCTTTGACAAATCGAATTACATATTGATCTTCTAGTCGGCCTGGTAAAAAGAAAAAAAATATTACTAGGGGAGTCACATTCTACATGGGGGTTACATTCCAAAGTCATCTCACAAACTGTTGTATAGGGGACGCCTGGGTGGCTCGGTCAGTTAAGCAACGGACTCTTGATTTCAGCTCAGGTCATGATCTCATGTTCATGAGTTCGAGCCCCATGTCAGGCTCCGAGCCTGCTTGGGATTCTCTCTTTCCCTCTCTCCCTGCCTCTCCCCTGCTCGTATTCTCTCTCTCTCTCAAGATAAATGAACTTAAAAAAAATTGTTGTGTAGTCAAAGTTCCCTTACAGGTAAAAATAGGTGGTTTTGTATTTTCAACATGATGTGCATTTTAACACACAATAAAATAGGAGAACCCAATGAGCTTGGCTGCAATAAAGAACAGAAGCAAAGGCCATGTCTGCATTTCCCAAGTGTTCTTCCGCAGTGACAGCGTGTGGGTGAAGCTGAAGGAGAAGTGGAGACATCCAGAGTGCTCCCACTTGCCAGCAGGGTTCCCTCAATTCTGTTTTGATATTATTCCTTAATACATAGCCTTATAGCCTTGATACATAGTAATAAAGGTTTCTGTTGTGAGATTTAAGTGAGATAGTATCCACGTGTGCTGTTGACACATGACTTATTAATAACAGGTGATCAGTAAATATTTGCTGCACTGGAATAAACATCAAGCTTGGGCTCCTGGCTGGCTCAGTTGGTAGACAGTGCGACTCTTGATCTTGGGGTTGTGAGTTCGAGCCCCACGTTGGGCGTAGAGATTACTTTAAAAATAAATAAATAAAAATAAAAATCAAGTTTGATCTGACTCTTAAAGGCATTATTCTCTTTAAATCTGCAGGATTTAGGAAAGGAAAGAATGCCCTCCCCACCCATCTCTCCAATTGGCATTCCTGACCTTGGCCCCACTGAACAATTCCCTCTCAAGCCTTGGATGCTGGTTTCCTGCGAATGTGATTGCGTGGCGTAGCTGTCCAATAGTTAAAGGACAATTTGATGCAGCTTTACTGTGATATTCGCTTATTATTCTATTGTTAATTATAGAACAGCTACCATTTCTGAGACATGGCCCTGCCCTTATATTGCTTAATGTATGCATTTCAGTACCCGTGAGTTTGGCAAGTTTGAGTCATTGATCTCCAAAGCTCTTTCTCCCATACTCTTAGTTTATCAGTGGGTCTACAATATAAAATAGTTTTTGGTCTCTTTTAAGCACCGTATTAATGACAGTGAAATGATGTAATTAAAACACCCCTTCTTTCTTCTACCTTTCATCGCCGCACGACTCATTAGGCAGTAACTGATTCAAAACTAATGGAGTCTTCCAGAAATTTCAGTGTTAGGGCTGACACCAAAAAAAAAAAAAAAAAAAAAAAAAAAAAAAAAATCAAAGGCATTATTTTGCGTAATGAAATTCCTCGAAATGATTTGACATTATCTCCCAGTAAGGTTCACACTGGTGCAAAGAAATAAAGCCAAATAAAAAAATGTCGAGGGACTCAGCCAAATTCAAAGACGAGCTTTATCTGAGTGGTCTATTCCTGGTTTTCAAAGGCTTTGTTGCTCAGGCAGGGGCACATACGTACCTCAGAAACCTGGCTTCAGTCCCCTCCATGCATGCCTGGGTTTACTTCAGGCAGTGAGCCTTGCCATTCATTTCTGTTTATTTCAGAACCAGGAGTGTTCAGTATGCAAGAAGGGACCTCTCGCAGCAGTTTCTGCTAATTGTGGAATGTGAGGACACAAAGGGGCAAGCCCAAGTGCCTCTCTCCAGAGAACTGTTACCTCCTAGAGATACACCCACGACCTTGGCAATGTGGAGCTCCTTGTCAGAGGATTATCACTTCCGCTTTGAAAGGAATGAACACAGCCTACTGGACAGCCTTTAAAACACCACCTGCTTTTTTTTTTTTTTTTAATTATAAGTATCTTTCACATTCACATAATATTTAAAATGTTCGTATTAATCCATATTCATAACTACTAAAACACGGTTCAAAAATAGATAGCTGCATCCAGGGTTTTAAAGAATCCATGCAGGGGCCCATGGGTGGCTCAGTCAGTTAGGCATCTGACTTTGGCTCAGGTCATGACAGTTCGTGGGTTCGAGTCCCACATTGGGCTCTTTGCTGTCAGCACAGAGACCACTTTGGATCCTCTGTCTCTCTCTCTGCTCCCCCCCCACTTGTGCTCACTCTCTCTCTCTTTCTCAAAAATAAATGTTAAAAAAAAAATAATCCAGGGGCGCCTGGGTGGCTCAGTCAGTTAAGCGTCCGGCTTCAGCTCAGGTCACAATCTCGCGGTCCGTGAGTTCGAGCCCCGCGTCGGGCTCTGTGCTGACAGCTCAGAGCCTGGAGCCTGTTTCAGATTCTGTGTCTCCCTCTCTCTCTGACCCTCCCCCGTTCATGCTCTGTCTCTCTCTGTCTCAAAAATAAATAAACGTTAAAAAAAATAATAATAATCCATGCTCGGGATAGACACTAGGAAGTTGACACATTTACATACATCCTTTCCACCCCACCCCGTCCCCAATATTTATTTTCAAACTCACAGAAAAGTGGAAAGACTAGTCCAGTGATCACCCGGAATCCCACCAGCTAGATTCAATAGTCCCACAATGCTTTTGAAATACCGAAAGCAAGCACTAAGAATCTGTAGCCAGTGCATTCTGGTTTAACTAAGCCCCTATTCTGGCTGCACCATCAGGGGCCAACTGGAGTGGAATTAGCAGGACACAGAGGTGACCACTGCAGGACTGTGAAATTTGCCTCACGGGAATCGTTAGAATCACATAATAACAAATTAGGTCATGTAAGGGAAGAGTCAGCTAACCTCTGTGCCCTTGCTCGTGCTGGGAAATTTCTATGTAGGTCTGTGCAATGAGCTCAGAGGTCTTGTTTTGTCCAAACATAATCAAGGTCCATGTCCCAGTTTCAGCTAAATATGAATAGGAAGGATTCGGGGACACACTTCAGGAAGGGAAAAAAACGAACAAACAAACAAACACCAAAAACACCTTCCTAAGGTCAAAGAGGATTGAATGAACTATTCCAGTCTTGTAGGAAGTGAGTAGGTGGCTGGCTAAAGACCACGTCCTCTGCTCCCTTCCAGTGCCCCTCTACACAGAGGCCACTGACCCAGTTTGGCCTCTCTTGACATCTGGGAAAAGAACTGAGTCCCCGCCAAGGACAGGCCCTTGAGCAATGCACTGACTGTTCTCAGCTCCTCCCTGACATTCTTGCTGGGCGGGGTCTCCCCCCTGGGCATGAAGAGAACCCAGTCGGTACCTCCCCCCATCCTGTTACACATTTTGGCTACGATTTTTGGGTTCTTGCAAAGACCAATTCATAAGTCTCTGTCCATAAGTATTGTCTAGGGTCTGTCGCATCCCGTTAGCCCGGATCCTCCCTCCCCTCCTGGGGTGGCGCTGTTCACTGCTCCCAGCGCCCTGCTCCGGCCTTACACCCCAGGCTTACAGTGCATGTGCACGTGGTCACGTACCCCTGTAGATCCTTTAAAATCCCAGCCCTCCGCCCTCTAATGTGCCTTGCCAGATTTCCTTCCGCGGGTATCCTCACAACGGAACATCTTAGTTCGGGTTGTTTCCTCTCTCCCAAGTGGTGGGCACCAGGATGTCGGTAAGTCTCTCTAACACCAGCATGTTGACTCCCAAGCGTCTCACCGGCAAGGAAGGGGCGGTGTTTTCTCTCAAAGTATCAAACTGGGCTCTCCGTGTGCCTTCCTTTTCCTCCGGGACAGCCCTGGGATTCTAAATTCCATTTCCTCCCGGCCTGGCTGACACCAAAGCAGAAACCAACGCACAGATAATCAGCTACCTGCTCTAAGTGGGCATCCAGTGTGTGTACATAAGACCGTGTTCTCCACGTCTTAAAAAAAACAGACTTGAGTGGCCTGGGAGAAGGGGAGGAGGGAGAGGGGTACTCTGACTTCAGAGGAAGGTGTGGACGGACTAGAATCCTTGAAGAGGAGTGTCTGGGGGAGAGGACCCCCCTGCAGGGGCAAAAGGGGGTGCCGGAAGACCAGAGGTGGGGAGGCCAGTCAAGAGAGGTGCCCCAAGGGATGCAGTGGGCGGTCCTCAGTGGGAGGGTCTGGGAAGGGCAACCCTAGGAAGGAGCTGTCTGTCACCAGGGGCTGACTCCTCCGTCCTTCCCTGCTTCCCACCTGCCCAGCCCAACCCCAACCCGGGAGGATCAGACCAGCAAGATGAGAGCAGGAGGTAAGAGGAAAGAAGCCAAATGTGCTTGAGAGGTGGTGAGGGGAGAAACTCTGTTGGGTAAGCGCCCAATGGCCACACATTGGACTGGTCTATAAATGATACCAGTAAAACCAGTCTGATGGAAGATCGTGACCATCAATGTACGAAAATGAAATGGTTCTGGTTTCCAGATAACTTCTACAGGTTGCTTTTCTGCCAAATAGCTAAGTCCCTTGGAGATGTCTACGTTCAAAACCCAGCTTGCACTTATTTGATCAGGATGGGCTTCTTAAAGCATGAAAACCCAGAAACTCTACCTATTTATTATTGAGGAGTTGCAATGGACCCAGCCTGAAACTCTGTCCAGGGGTGACGAAAGAATGAGTCCAGAATTTGAGTTCAAAGTGACGGTTTACCACGATCGGCTTGTTCAGCAAACTGCTTAAGGTTACCAAGTGGGTAAGGATAGTTTTCCATGTATTTGTATTTCTTCCTGCATGGATTATGGCTCCACATTATTCATCCATTTTGTTCTATTAAAGAGCTAATGATTTTCTTATTGGCTTGCCTGAGCATTTTATATATTAAGGATATTAAGCCTTTATCATATTAGTGGCAAATATACTTTCCTTGTTTGTCCTTTGCTTTTTTTTTTAAATGTTTATTTATTTTTGAAAGAGTGAGTGCACAAGCAGGAGAGAGGCAGAAAGAGAAGGAGACGGAGAATCCGAAGCAGGCTCCGCGCTGTCGGTGCAAAGCCCTATTTAGGGCTCAAACCCACGAACCTGAGATCATAACGTAAGCTGAAGTCGGATGCTCAACGGACTGAGACACCCAGGTGCCCTGTCCTTTGCCTTTTAATCATTTTTTTAAAGTTGTATTTATTTAACTAATCTCTACACCCAACGTGGGGCTCAAACTCACGACCCCGAGATCAAGAGTCACACACTTTTCCGAATCAGCTGGTCAGGCGCCCATGTCCTTTGCCTTTTAATTAATGACTTTTGATGTTTATAAAATATTTATGACTATCCATTTGATCTCATCCTCATCATCATCATCATGATCATAGGTAGTTCTTTCCCATCCTGTGATCACAGAGTCACCAAAATGTTAATGGTGATTTTTGGGGCGCCTGGGTGGCTTAGTTGGTTGGGCGTCCAACTTCGGCTCAGGTCACGGTCTCACCGCTCGTGAGTTCAAGCCCTGCATCGGGCTCTGTGCTGATGGCTCGGAGCCCGGAGCCTGCTTGGGATTCTGTGTCTCCCTCTCTGCCCCTCCTCTGCTCATACTCTCTTTCTCTCAAAAATAAACAAACGTTAACAAATTTTTTTTAATGTTAATGGTTATTTTTCCCTCCAGGGGTGGGGTAATATTATGAATGAGATTTCTTTGTTGTCATGTTTTCCGTACTCTGCTTTTAATAGCAAGCAGGCAGTCTTTTCTCACAAGGAAACAAAACCTGTCACCACGAGCAGCGCCGTGCGGTGCACGATACCTGCGTTCTGCTCCATGCTTTCCTTGATGCCGTCCAAGAGCTCCTGAGCTTCGTCCACGTTCTCCTCCTCCTCCTCCTCCTCTTCGCCTTCTTCCTCTTCCTCCTCTTCATCCTTAGGCGTGACGATCGTCTCCTACAGACCACAGGGATATTCGGGTCGGAGGACGCCCTCCACGGACCCGCTGCTCACAAACCATCTGGCAGGTGGTCCCGGAAAAGACTGGGGCCCAAGTAGGGACCACGCCCACCCACAGCCATCATGCAAGAAGTTGGGATGCATGTGTCTACAGAGGTGGGTGAGAGCCTTGAGGTTTCTCTCTGTTTTAGGAGAAGAATCCATTTCTGTGTTAACGCCAGAACCGCTTAAGAGTCAACATTTCCCTCCGTGTCAGGTTGTATCTTACTTACGATGAAGAGCAGTTAGTTGGCGGTGGGGGAGGTGGGATAAACAGGCAGAGCACAGAGGATTTTTAGGGCACCGGTAAACACATGTCATTATACGTTTGTTCAGACCCGCAGGGTGTGCAACACCGAGGGCAAACCCTAAAGTCAACAGTGGACATTGGGTAGTAATGAGGTGTTAACACAAGTTCATCAGCTGTGACTCATGGAATCACTCTGGTGGGGATGTTGGTAATGGGGAGGGGCAGGCTATACGTGTAAGAGGGAGGGGATACATGGAAAATCTAAGGGGCGCCTGATGGCTTAGTTGGTTGAGCATCCAACTCTTGATTTCGGCTCAGGTCATGATCCCAGGGTCGTGGGACCGAGCCCCGTGTCAGGCTCTGTGCTGAGTGTAGAGCCTGCTTAGGATTCTCTCTCTCTCTCTCTCTCTCTCTCTCTCTCTCTCTCTCTCCCCCTCCTTCCCTCTCTCTCCCCCTGCCCTACTTATGCTCTCTCTCATAAAATAAATAAATAAACATGAAAAAAACTGCTCTAAGAAAATAGTCCTTTTTTTAAGAGCAGTTAATGAATAAATAGTCTGGTAATACTCTGGGAAACATACATCAAGAATAAGAAAACCTAAAGATGTTCCAGTCAACAGAGAAAATACAAGATATATTTTTAAGCAACAGCTGGCGACAGACTGAATTTCAAGGGCAACCCCATGAAAGAAGCTTCTATCTCACAGAGGAAAGTCCCGCGGGATTCTGTGCTTTCATAACTGGGGCCAACAACAAAATCCAATTGAAATGACAAATCTCACCGTAGGATGCCACGTAAAATTAGTGGCTTCCTTGTTACGAGATGAAGGGAAGCATTTTTAAGATATGAGAATTCCCAGTGAAGTAGTTAGAAACGTTACCAGTCTTGCTATGGCTTCAGAAATGACATCCTTCAATTTAATGTGATGCAGTTTGTAGTGTTTAGACAAGGCTTCAGCAATACTAGATTTTCCCACAGCGGGGGGACCGAGAATGCAAATCTTGATCGGCTGAAAAAGGAGAATAAGAATCACACGGTGAGCTTTGGACGATCCGTGGCTAGACGGGAGTGGTTTTTTGGTTTTTAATTTTGGGGGGGGGGGGTGCCTTTTTTTGAACGTCTCTGGATCCTGCAGGCTAACTCTTCTCTGCCGAGACTCCAGAGTCACTTCCTCCGCTGCTGGCCTTGCGGTCAGCGCCACATCATCCTGACGGCGCTGCTCTCCGATGGGAGTGGCCGTTCATGCTAATTCATTGAGCGGGTGTTTAGTGAGCCACTACTATGTGACCAACATGGGGGACACGGCGCTCAACAAAGATGTACTCAGGAACACCTCAAAATTATTAAAGAACAAAGTACTTGAGCGTCACAGGCTACCATATTACTCATTAAAGACAACAAAGACTGGGGCGCCCCGGGGGGGGGTTCACTGGGTTAAATGTCTGCCTCTTGATTTCAGCTCAGGTCACGGTCTCATGGTTTGTGACTTCGAGCCCCACATCGGGCTCTGTGCTGACAACGCGGAGCCTGCTTGGCCTTCTCTCTCTCTCCCTCTCCCAAAATAAATAAACTTTAAATTTTTTTTTAAAAAGACAACAAAGAGGGGCGCCTGGGTGGCGCAGTCGGTTAAGCGTCCGACTTCAGCCAGGTCACGATCTCGCGGTCCGGGAGTTCGAGCCCCGCATCGGGCTCTGGGCTGATAGCTCAGAGCCTGGAGCCTGTTTCCGATTTTGTGTCTCCCTCTCTCTCTGCCCCTCCCCCGTTCATGCTCTGTCTCTCTCTGTCCCAAAAATAAATTAAAAAAAAAAAAAAAAAAAGACAACAAAGAAAGAGAATTTCTGGTCTAATGTGCGGGTGCTTAGTTTATCGCCTCATGAGTACTGTCTCTGGACTGGCTTGGTCTCTAAGTATCCTTTACTTTTTAACACAGTTAACTTATTCTAGTTTTTAAAAAATATGCTCATTTGGGGAAAAAAAAAAGCCTCACAATTTCTGCTGCTGAAACTTGCTCGAATATGCTACAGAAGCTGTGTGACATTCATAACCAGTGAGTAAATGTTTATTTGCAACAGAAGTCGAAATATCAGCGGCAGTCGTTTCTTCCAAAATGGTCCAAACAACACTCGTGCAACCGAGGCTTCATATTTTGTGAGGCGATTAGTAACCAAAGTCAGGCTGATGGGGAGCATTTTCAGTGGCAGAGCGTCCATGTGCTTAAAGGTTTTGTAATTGCAGCCACAAAATTGGCCACAGTTATTATGCCATCATATTATGTGACCCCTCGCCAGGCAAGAAGGCCAAGTCTGTTAGGACGGAGGTGGCAACCAAGACAGCAGGCGGCGGAGGGGCAGGGGTCCCAGGGAGCGACTCGAGCTGAGTCTTGCTGGGCAGGGCTGCTCCCCTGGGTGGGTCTGAGGTCTAGCTGTCAACGGAGCGTGTTAACGTGTTGTCCACCCACCAGCGGCAGAGCTCCCGGGGAAGGCGCACCTCCTCCGGGTGAAAAACCAGAACGGCAGCTTATTCGTTTAATAATGAGACGTATGGCTGCCACTGAACTCAGAACTCCAAGTACACGTGTCTGGGGCATTTGCTCCCTCAGAGCAGACAGGCACGGAGGGCCGTCGATGAGCAGCGTTTGAAGCATGAAGAGTTAGGTGAATGAGCTACTTCATGGCATCTGGTCCCGGGGGCTTGAGGCACCTGTCCGCAGCAGGGACAACTTTGCCTTGCGAAAGGGACTGGAATCACGGGAGCCTTTGGCTTAAGACTCCACCTTTTGGGATGCCACTGGCCTGCCACGGTCTATGCTGCCCTCGGTAGTTTCCTGAGCCACGCGGACCAACGCCCCCAGGGACGGCTAGACGGTTCAAGTGTGGGATACGCTTAGTCCCTCTATCCCCTTCCGTCCAGTCTTGCTGATCGGGAACCATGTGATCTCTTCAAGGCGTCTTGTCCTACCTCTACTCTGACTGCGTTGTTTTACCTTTGACCCAGAGAATAACACTAGTTTAACGATTTGAGCTGGGTTCTTGGGTGCCTCAGGATAGGCTCCGAGTACAGCCGCCCTGCGTATCTCACATGCTTAACGGGATTGTCGTTTCTTTCGCTAAGACGCACATCTCCTACGTACTCTTAACTGGGCATGCTTGTCAGGAGAAGGCGGTTCTTCGGATACAATGGGGATACCATTCTTGCTTTTCTGGAGTGTTCCCACCCTCAGTGGTAACTATGGGTATGATGGCACCTGCTCCTCCTGTGCTACCCTACAGTTTTCACAACACGTTCTCATGTATTACCCACTATCGTCTTTGGGATGCTTCCCTGGCATAAATCCAAGGATCCGGGCAAGGGCTACATACGCCCGATTTCGGGGAGGGTGGTGTGGAGATGCCACCGTTAGGCCATTCTAGCTAAGTTTGCATCCTAGCTAGTTTGAATCTCTGACTAGCTGTGTGACGTTGAAGAAATGCTTAAACTCTCTGAGCCTCAGTTTCCTCATCTCTAATGTGGAGATAAGAATATCTACCTTGAAGCCCTACCTGTGGTGATTAAAACGACCAGTGAACCCCCTGGCCAAAAGGAAGAGATCAAAGTAACAACTGGACTTCTCCCATTTTCCATTTCTCCTACCGTCTCCCGTAGGCAACCCAGGGCTGAAACAGACAAGCCAGGAAGCCCCTGCCATTTTTCCGTTTATAGGCAGTGCTGTGGCCATCAGTCTTGAGCTTACTATCGTGTTCAATTTGTGTCAAGCGTAACAGTCATTAATCTGTCTAACTTTAAACTCTTTAATACTTAATTGACAAGAATTAATAGACACCTAGATTGTCAGACGTGGACAAGTCGGTCAAATTTGAAAAAGAGCTTGAATTTAGAAATTGGGACATCTGAGAAAGAAAATACTTTCACTGGTGTAATCATACCAAACGTTTCATTTACTTCGCTCAAATTAGAAGTTGGAACAGGAAGGAGCTCCTGGATGGCTCAGTCGGTTAAGCGTTCAACTTCAGTTCAGGTCATGATCTAATAGTTCGTGGGTTCGAGCCCCGTGTCAGACTCTGTACTGACAGCTCAGAGCCTGGAACCTGCTTCAGATTCTGTGTCTCCCTCTCTCTCCGCCCCCTTCCCTGCTCATGCGCTCTCTCTCTCTTTCTCAAAATCAAATAAACATTAAAAAAAAAAAAAAAAAAGAAGTTGGAACAGGAAATTGTTATAGTTACCAATAATCCTCTGCTTTGCTTGTACTCTTTGAGGATATTGCTGATATTGTCCACAAATCCCGTTTGGGCAAGCCATCGAATGTTAAAATTCTCCTTCACAAAAAGTGCTTCCATTCTCAGGTTGACCAGTAAATGATCAAGACACACTTGCTACAGGATAAAGGAATATTAGAGATTTGTCCTTTTCTTTGCCTTTCATTTTGACAGTCATAACAGGCCCAAATCACTGTCATCACAGGGAAAATATATATACATTCACAAAACCTGGATGTCAATTAATGGCGGCCCTCAGTGTGGACAGAGCGCCCTCTGTGGCCCTCCCTGGCACTTCTAAACTCTTCCCGTGTCTGCCCTCAGGGACAGGCAGCATCCTGGCTCTTAGTCTAGCAGCTCAAAGAAGTAGAGAGATACTAGAAGCCCCAGGAAAAGGTTTCTTTTTCTTTTTCCCCGCACCAATTGTAATTGGATCCATTCTTTGAACAGCGCAATCCCATGGCTCAAGATCCGAAAGAACAAATGTAGAGGAAAGCACTCCCTTTGACCCCCATCCCCACCCACCCAGCTCTGCTCCCCAGAGGCCGCCAGAGATACCAGCCCCTTCGGAAACATTCTCGAATGTAGTGTTTTGATGCAATTTATTCCTAAAATGAAGTATATCCTAGAGCAAGCTCCAAGAGCACACCGCTGACTAAGGATGTGTAGGTTTTTGTGGTGACGGGATCAGAAATCCCAGGTTCCTGTGTGAATTGCACAAAGAGGCCAGAGCAAAAGGACAGTGGGTGTCTGTAAAGCATTTATGGATCAGATGTCTCAAATACATTTTCTTTTTTTTTTTTTTTT